CTATTCATAAAGAAGGTATAGGGTTTAATGCGTTATATGAGGGAGGGAGTCTATAAGCTGTTTCATTGTTTTATTATTATTAAACAATTTTAAACCCATGCATAATTTTCCTTCCACTCTACAATAATGTTCTACTTTATTTTTATTTTATCACATAAAACCTGATCATTTAAAGTGACATGAATACCTTTTCAAAGTGCACATAAAAACAAGTCATTCATGCCGCAACCTGATGATCTGTTATTTCTTAATAAATGTCTTATTTATTAATAAATAATCTATCACTGTTTTCCTCCCAGCTGCACGCAGACATTTCCTTCTTTACTCCGACTTCTCTTTTTATTCGCCAGAGCTTCAGCTCTCTGCTGCAGAACTTCGTTCCTTGTGGCCACGGCGTTTGTTCAGCCTGACACTGAGAAATATGTGCCGTTTACTGTGGCCACAAAAGCTCTCTGAGGGGAAGTTTGACCCACTTTTACCAGAAGTGTTTCTATTTCGTTGCTATTGTTCGTCTAAGCCGGATGAATGTTTGACTTTTATGTCTTCTCGTCAGCGAGGTGTTCAGTCATTTAGACTGAAGGCTTGTCGCTCATGTGCCATAACTGATGTGCGTCGTAGCTTCGCTGTTCTAACACATGTTTTGTATCTCACAGACCACCTGAAGGAGAAGCTGGAGTTGTTTGTGGAGCAGTTTAAGATCGTCCGTGTTGTCAGGCAGCCAGAGAGGAAAGGCCTCATCACAGCCAGGCTGCTGGGAGCCAGCATTGCTACAGCTGAAGTGCTCACCTTCCTTGATGCGCACTGTAAGGAAACCTCTATACACACAGTGCGGTTGGCTGCGATGCACAAGTCGCAGCCGGTGTGATGGGTTGCACACAGCTGCCTGAAATGACAGTAACAGACAATGTGAAACAAAGTGGTTGAGCTTTAAGTATCTGGCATAAACTTGAATCCTAAATCGACATTGTTGATAGAAGAGTTGCAATAAATGTGCATAATCTCAGCAGTGCTGTCTTTACAGATTTTTCAAAGCAAGAACTGCGTGCACAAATTTGAATTTCCTGCTAAAATATAACAGGATTTCAAATATATAAAAATGTAACTACAATACCCTTTAATGTTTGGATCAATGTGTGTAACAAAAATTCCCAGGCACACTTGTTTCTACCATGTTCTCTTTGTCAAATACTTAGAGTTCATTTAAATTCAGAGCCACCGTTAAAACACAAGTTCACAGCCATCTGGGCGCAGATCTGAGGTAACGTTACAGAATGCTTTTCATTATCCTGTCCACTTTGTGCAATACCCAGCACCAATGGTAGAAAAAGAAATCAACCAATTTAAACAAAATGTTATTCTTTTTGATTGGAAGAAAGGTTAAAGGAACTTCATTGACGGCTACGACAAGCCTTTGGTTTTTCTGCAACATACTAAGAAATGTATTAGAGTTTGTATGCATCACTTTGACCTGTTGATTTCAAACCCAATTCTTGTTTTGTGAAATTCATAAAAGTTAATAATTGCTACTGTGATATATTCTAAAAATACATCATAGTAAATTCATGGGTGTAATGAGAGATCGTAAACTTGCCACCAGAAAAGTACGCTAGTTTGTGCAAAAGGGCGTTTGTAGAAAAATGTAAGTCTTTCCTTTCCCTTTTTTCATGCTCAGGTGAGTGTTTTCACGGTTGGTTGGAGCCTCTCCTGGCCCGGATAGTTGAAGAACCCACCGCCGTAGTCAGCCCAGAGATCACCACCATTGACCTGAACTCCTTTCAGTTCAACAAACCCGTGGCCACCAACCGCGCGTACAACCGAGGGAACTTCGACTGGAGCCTGACGTTCGGCTGGGAGCCGATACCCGAGGAGGCAAAGAGGCTCCGCAAGGATGAAACCTATCCTGTAAAGTAAGATGGATCATGTTGTTTTCACTCTTTAAAGTTCTGAATCATTTAAACACCTGAAGCCTTTGGATTCTCATGAAAATTTCAGAACACCTACTTTTGCCGGAGGCCTTTTCTCAATCTCAAAGAAGTACTTTGAGCACATCGGAACGTATGATGACAAGATGGAGATCTGGGGCGGAGAAAATGTGGAAATGTCCTTCAGGGTCAGTCTCTCTTATCTCTCCCACGACCCCCCTCCCAATTGTCCACATTAATCATTAAGTTACCTTGACATTTTCTCCAAACATTTATGTGTGAAGGTGTGGCAGTGTGGGGGTCAGCTGGAGATCATTCCCTGCTCGGTGGTGGGCCACGTTTTCCGCACCAAAAGTCCGCACACCTTCCCCAAGGGCACTGAGGTCATCACTCGCAACCAGGTGCGCCTTGCTGAAGTCTGGATGGATGATTTTAAGAAGATCTTCTATCGGCGCAACAGAAACGCCGCAGTGATGGCTAGTGAGGTCTGTCTTCTAATTTTAACGCTCCATCAATCTCCTATACGACTCGTCGTGTTTTGACCACAGATCTATTTTTATTATTTTTTTTACAATAGCATAAATATGGAGACATCTCTGATCGCCTCAACCTGAGGAACAGGCTGCAGTGCAAGAACTTCACCTGGTACCTGAACACCATCTACCCAGAGATCTTCATTCCTGACCTGAAGCCAGAAAAATTCGGATCAGTGAGTCGATTTTCTGAGCATCAGCAGTATGTTACGTTAGATGCATGGCTCAGTTTGCATTTTTCTTGATTCGTGTCCATGCTTGTCATAGATCAGAAACTCTGGATCGAGGACTTGCCTGGATGTCGGCGAGAACAACCAGGGGGGTAAAGCTGTGATCATGTACCCGTGTCACAACATGGGAGGAAACCAGGTACAGGAACTCTCCTTTACTAGCAGGAAATGGGAAAAAAAAAAGATTTGAAGATGATTGGATGTCATCTATTTTTGGTTGGTTCTAACTAGATGATTGTATTTGTAGTACTTTGAGTATTCGTCCCACAAAGAGCTGCGTCACAACATCGGGAAGCAGCTGTGTCTCCATGCCAATGATCAGTCAGAACCAGTGAAGATTGAGCTGTGCCAGCTGAAGGGGAGGGGGACCAGTTTGTCACCTCAGCAGGAATGGGTCTTTACAGAGGTGAGCAACGCTTCAGATCCTTACTGCAGTTCAACACTGTGAGCATAACATTTACACCTATATGTTTTGTAAAATAAGGTTCATTCAAATGGAGCTTTAACTTTTATAAAGTCTCTTTAATTTCTTCAAAATTATTTAAAATGATACTCTGATAAAATGTGAAATGGGGAAAACATCCACAACATTCTGACTGCAATCCTAGACACACGTCACACTTTAAATGTTTTTCAGAAATCAGTAAAACTATCTGCAGAAACCAACTTTTTTTTTTTATTGTGCAACGTTGTAAAGATTTTCTCTTTTTCTGCAGAGCGTCCATTAGAAAATCAGTGACTTTATACGTTGGCTGTAAGCAGCCTTCAAAGGTTTGCAGTCGTGGGCTCATCCGGACCGACTTCATTCCTCTGCTGGGACCCAAATAGCAGCTGCCTGGCAATGCTGCTCAGAAAAACATGGTGCAACAATTAAACCCAGAAAGCTTTAGGTCTTAGCTTTTGTACACTTTAAGAAAATAGCGAAATAATTAGGCAGTTGTCTGCCTAACTCCAGAAATGCATGCTAAGGGTTAGCGTTAGGGGTTAGGGTTATGCTAGCATCACTTGCTGCAGCATAAGGTGCCAGGGTTTCTCATTAAAAAGGACAACAGAATGTCAAATCTGTTTTAGTATACATTGAATAAATACAATTGTTAAGTGCATTAATGCACTAAGCTGAGCTTTCATGTTGCTTTTGCTTATTGTTTTGTTTCAGGAAAGTCTTCTGAAGAATCCAAGCAGTGGGAGGTGCTTACAGCTGAGAGGGGCTCAGGTTCAGATGGACCACTGTAATGCTGCAGATCCCTTCCAGCAATGGAGTTTCTCTTGACCCCACAGTCTACCCAACAGGTGACCTCTGGTCCCCTCCCTGTCATCAGACTCAGCAGCTTAGAGCTGAAGCATTACAGATCCAAACGGACATGCTGGAAAGCTTTGGGCAGGCGGCCATACTGATGACCAGGAAAGGATGGAGGACAATACAGACCCGATGCCTGGTTGAAGAAAAAAGAGAAAGAAAAATGAAAACCCTCATTTGGGTATAAATATTTTTATTTTATTTATGGATGACACTCAGGAAACTCTTCTTATTGTGGTTTGGGGAACTTTGGACATGTTTGAACTTTGCCTTTAGCAGTGGCAGCTTTAAAAAGGCTCTGAACTGCAATGACTTTAATTCACTTGTTTTACACTCTAATAAGAAAAAGAAAAGAGAACGGTATACGATTGTGATTTTTTTGTTGTGTCCGGTGATGAATGTGGAAATATTTTATCGCAAGAAGATGAAATGTTTGTTTTTTAATATTTTTTAATGACGTTATGAAGTTTTATAAATAACTTTTTATTATAAACAAGTTATTTTAACCGTCTAGGAAACAGTTTCCAAAGGCACATTTTTGCATACATGTCTTTCTAGTAAAATTGGTCTGTTGACTGTTTATCATACTTGCACAAAGTCTGGGAAAATTGTCTGATATTTTGTATACTGAAGGATAAACTAAATTCATATGGTTATTACAGATATTAAACCAAAACCTCAAGATTTTGTGTTAAGAATGTCTTCATGCTGATAAGAAGTCCCCCATCAATAAAGCACATAAAGCTTCTCGGAAGTCTTCTCCCCACTATTTAGGGAGTGACTCTGGAGAGACACATTCCAGAAAACTGCTTTTGTTTTGTCCTACAAAACCTGCAATGTGAGTTTAACGAAATGCACAAGATCACCAAACCGGATGCGAAGTCGTGTAAAGACTCCTTCAAATAAAAGGAAGTAGAGAACAAAATGTTTCCTAAAAATTCACACAATAAGAAATGACACACGTTTCAATAGGTACACATTTCCTTCTGCAGCAATAGGTGGCAGCACAGAGTTGCAGAGATTGTCGAGGCCACAGAGAAAATGTAAAACTCAGCAGGTCAGTCTGTGATTTACTAGGAGGGTCACCGTTAAGACAGCGGTCTGCTCAGGAGAGGAGTATGGAGCCCTTAACTCAGTCAGAGGTGTTTGGGGAGCTCAGGAAGGAGCTTTATGGAGACAAACAGTCGAGTCATTCCAGCACACACGTATTTATAGTCCTGGGAGCGTCTGTGAGTAAAACCTGGCAATAATTTGACTGTTCTTAGCCAGATCGTTTGAGGATTTGAACAAATTGTAACCATTTCGGTTTCAAGTGTTGGAAGACAAAGTTGTGCTAATGAGAGAATGAGATGGAAAAAAAAAATTAAAACTTTGACATTTCACTATCTTCAATTTCCTGACCGTTTTCAGTCTGCATTGTTTTTCTCTTTGTATTCATTCATGTTGTACATAACATCTTGCAAATAGATTTTTTTCTTTTTCTCATCCAAACACATTTTTCTTACTCTTTTTTCTCTCTCCTAGACTTTGACTGGGTTTTTTTTCAGCTCTTATCTCTGCTTTAGACTCATGATAGATTGCTTTGTGCCCGACTCTAAAAGCTGCTGAGACTTTTGAATAAAGCCACTATATGTATTGTTTGCACAGGGAGATCTTGCCAAGAAGAAGATTTATCCGACTTTGTGGTGAGTGAAAACCTGCAGCTTACAAACTACCTGACTCGCAGAGCTGCTTTAAAGTTGTTTACTTCAGAGTTTGACCCTTGGACAAAGGTTTCCACATGGCTGCTTTGGATTGACTCTGCCTGTTGTTCAGGTGGTTATTCAAAGATGGCCTGCTCCCAGAGGACATCTATATCGTGGGATTTGCCCGCTCTGACCTGACTGTAGAGAAAATTAAGGCGGCATGTCTTCCACATATGAAGGTATTTATTCAGTCTTTGTTGAGACACTATTACAGATAACAGGGCCTTGGAAAGCATTCACACCCCTAGAACTTTTTTACATCACAACAAAGTTGGACCAGCACAAAGTAGTGCTATGCTGTAACAACTAAAGATTTTTCTAGTGAAAATCTAAAAAGTGTGGCAAACACTGAGGAAAGTGCTGCTGTTGGAAGATACCAAAAATTCTCAATATTGATTAGAAATTAATTAAGCCAAATAATCTGATGGGAAAACCTGTTAGAGGTGGAAAGAATATTTGAGACTAGAGAATGCATTCACTTTCCAGCAGTAAATCGACACTAAACATGAACCCAGAGGCACAATGAAATGGTTTATGTCAAAGCATATTCACATGTTCAAATGAATCAGTCAAAGCACAGACCAAAATCTAAGTAAGATTTAACATTCCTGCTAATAGATGCTTTCCATCAATGTTCAGTGCTGACAGAGACATAGCCTGTAGTTTTACAGTTTTGAGCTGGCTGATTCTAAGAAAAAAAAAACAACTATTTTTATTTGTAAGAAAAAAAATAAATAAATAAAGCATATTATTATTAGGATGTAAGACTGTTTGTATCACTGCTGAATGAATTCTGTATGAAAGAGGGATCAGGTTCTGGCCTGGGCCTTTTTGCATGCAGCTTGTTCTCCCTTGCATGTGTGCGTTCTCTCCTGCTTTCATCTCCCACAGTCAAAAACATGCATGTTAGCTCATCTGGCCTTTTTGAAATGAGGCTTTAATCTGAGCCTGTGTGTGTCCCTGTCACAGTCCAGGGTGTACCCAACTTCTTGCCCAATGACTGACGAAGACGGACACCAGTCAAACTGTGACCCCTCATGGACAAAGTGGCAATTAAAAATGAATAGATAACAATTTAGCCTTCACATATAAAGTCTCAATAAAACACACTCATGTTTATGGTGGCAGAGAGACAAAATGTGAAGATCAAGCGGTGGGAATACTTTTTAGGCAAGTTCAAGGTCTTCAGGGATAACTTTTAGGTTTCCTTGGTAGGTGACTGACGAGGAACTCGATAGTCTATCAGCCTTCTTCAAAAGGAACTCCTATCTGAGTGGTCGCTATGATGTTGGCAGCTCCTTTGAACGACTCGACAGCCATCTGTCATCTCTGCCCAGAGGGGAAACCGCCAACCGGCTCTTCTACCTGGCGCTGCCCCCTACCGTCTACCACCAAGTCAGCACAAACATCAGAAACCACTGCATGAGCTGCAAGTCAGTACATTTCCATTCCTGAAAAACAGCGCTGCACGTTTTCTTTTTTTTTGTTGTTGTTGTTGTTTTTGTCTTTTTTTTTTTTTTTTCTAATCTGATTTGTTCGCAGCAGAGGCTGGAACAGGGTAATCTTTGAGAAGCCGTTTGGTCATGACCTCCAGAGCTCCCAGGAGCTTTCAGCCCACCTCTCTAACCTGTTCAGAGAAGACCAGATCTACCGCATAGATCACTACCTGGGAAAAGAAATGGTTCAGAACCTCATGGTTCTCAGGTAACAACGTCACCTTCACATTTTCAATTTGCTCGAAAATGTTATTACGCTGAGATAAAATCCATCCTCCCAAAACAAAGTTTTTGCCTGGAAGCCTCTGGTGACTTCACAATATTTTCTTCTTCATCAGGCTAAAAATGATTTGCTTATATATACATAATGTTTTTTTTTTATTTTTTTATTTTTTTTTTTATTGCTTTTAGTGTGAAAAGAACTTAAGTACCTGGTTCTACACGGAAAATATTTTTTCTCTTATTTTAAAATTTCTGAAACTTTGCAGCAGTAATTAGATTGTCTTTCTTTAATTATGGTTAGTAGTTATAAAAATGGCTTATCTTTTTTTTTTTTAGAGTAATTTCAGTTCAGACAGCATTGCTTTTTACCATCCAGGCTTGTTGCGCATCTGTTTTTTGGTTCAGACATAGGTTCTTACAATTTGCAAATGCAAATATACACACATTTTCCCCCCGCCCTTTGATTTTTAAATTACTTTTTATTCTGTGAAATCCATCCAGGGAAATCCAGCCCTTTCCTACCCAGCTGTGTTTTCTAACCTGAAAGCCAGCTGCTTGGATAAGCGGAAACCTTCCATCTTGTGGTTTGTTTCAGATTTTTTAAATTTATTTGTTTATTGCATGTTTACTTTCTTGCAGGTTTGGAAATCGCCTGTTTGGACCCATATGGAACAGGAACAGTGTGGCCTGTGTGGTGCTCACCTTCAAGGAGCCCTTTGGCACTCAGGGCCGTGGAGGATACTTTGATGGCTTTGGGATAATTAGGTGAAGTAAGCATTATGAATTAGATTTTAGTTTCACAGGAACAAAAACCTAATTGCGCTTTTGTGTGTGTGTGTGTAGAGATGTCATGCAGAATCACCTGCTTCAGATGCTCTGTTTGATTGCAATGGAGAAACCTGCATCCACCAGCCCTGACGACGTGAGGAATGAGAAGGTAGGCGCATTGTCGGGAGTGACGAGATTATGGAGTCCTCGCAAAGCTGATGAGTGTTAGTTTTTGGTGTTCTGCAGGTGAAGGTCCTGAAGTGCATAAGTCCTCCTAACATGGCAGATGTGGTGCTGGGTCAGTACGTGGGAGATCCGAGAGGAGAGGGCGATGCCAAGCTGGGTTACCTTGATGATCCCACAGTACCAAAAGGCTCCTGCACACCAACGTTTGCAACTGCAGTGCTCTACGTCCAGAACGAAAGATGGGATGGTGAGGCTCCAATCCGGACTTCTTTCCTCATTGCTTCTCTTTCTCTATCTAAATTTTCCCTGCAGTTACCATGTTTTAATCTCCACCTGGGTCATCCATCAGGGGTTCCTTTCATTCTGCGCTGTGGGAAAGCCCTGAATGAGCGGAAAGCCGAGGTGCGTCTGCAGTTCACGAACGTACCCGGAGACATCTTTGCTGACCACTGTCAGAGAAACGAGTTGGTGGTCCGGGTGCAGCCGGACGAGGCTGTTTACCTGAAGATGATGACCAAGAGGCCTGGAGTTTTTATGAGCCCAGAGGAGACCGAGCTGGACCTCACCTACAAGAGCAGATACAAGGTGCTCAGCACATTTGTTTTAATCTATAATTCTGCTCCAATTATTGATTCTAAAATATTGTTTTAACTTTGTGTGAGCACAGAAAAATATCATCTGGCCACCTGTAGATATGTAGCATATATTAAAATGGATGAAAAAGACTGAGGATTATTTAAAAATAAATAAAGACCTTGCCAGAATAAAGTAGCTGCAAGAGGCAATACATCACAAGGAATACAAATCAACTTCGAAACCAAAATGTTTGGAAATATAATAGTTTAGAAAAAATTGCAATGAAATGTAATTAATAACTATCACCTTCAAGGTCATTAAAATGAAAGCTATCAAGCTTTTTCTTTTTTACTTTGCCTGAGATAACTTTTATTGAACATGCTGATAAACGCTACATAATATTTTTTATACCAAAGAAAAAACAAAAACATGAGACTTGAAAATCTTGTCAACAAATAAGCCATTGCAGGATCCTATGATAAAACCTATTTATTTTATTTGTATGCTTGTTTTTGTTCTTTTTGCTGACATTTTTTTTCCTTGGATTTTCTTTCATTTTCCTGTGTCAGGTTTTTTGTAACTTTGCACTGACATGCATTTGCAGAATGTGAAGCTTCCCGATGCTTATGAGAGACTGATTCTGGACGTCTTCTGTGGAAATCAGATGCACTTTGTCCGCAGGTCTGCAGCAATGTTTACTGTAACTGAGAAAGAAAACTGGCACGTTTGTCCTAAATATTAAACAGATACATCATATTTTTGGAGACTTGTTCATTTGTCAGCATAGTGGACATTTTGCAAACGGATTTTCATCTCAACCATCCCCTCTTTTACTTTCAGTGATGAGTTGCGAGAAGCCTGGAGGATCTTCACCCCCCTGCTCCACCAAATAGAAGCTGCAAATAAACAACCTATTCCTTACACATATGGAAGGTAAACTCTTGTTAAAAACATAAAACAAACAGAAGTTAATTTAAAAGACACAATTATTTCTGAAGATCTTCTTTCTTCCTCCTCTTTCTTTATCTTTGTGTCCATAGTCGTGGTCCAAGTGAATCAGACCATCTTATTCAGAGGGTGGGCTTCCGCTACGAGGGAACATACAAGTGGGTGCAGCCCCACACAGCCTGATTCTCCAAGTTGTGCGATGTGCATGCACAGATTCACAGATGTTCTCAAATAAAATTTACAGCAGCCACTTCTGTGCCAATTTGATTTTTGTCTGCATGCACATTAAAAAAGCACTGCGTTTTTCTCCCTGATCACACACGTTAATGTAGAAATAACCAAGTGTTCGTGTGATTCCACATGCATGTGCATTCGAGTTTTCTAAACAAATCATATTTCACCCTTTTGCCCAAATACAGTTTACAATACAATGATATTTTACTCATGCAAAACCAGAAAGGACTAAAGGGTTCAGCGCTGAACTATGTGCAGCAAATATTCACCGTTTAGATCAAGGTGATGATAAGGGTGTTTCCTGCTGTTGACAGACCGATATTTACAGAGATCACCAAAATAAAATCATGCAATGTCATAGTTCACATAAAGCCATGGAAACATGTCAACAAAGCAGGAAGACTTGTTGGACAGATTAGTCTGGGATAAGATGGCTCTCCTGATAACTGTTCACTGAGACAGACATTTGTCAAACCAAAGGTAAGAAAAATGTTCTTTCTGAGCTTAATGAAATGGTTAAAAACATTCCAAACATTCCTCCAACACTATGTCTTCACCTACTTCTTCCACAACTCTTGATACCTTATGGATTCCCCCCCCCAGTTTTCTCATTTTGTAACTATATTATGCGGCAGACCAACACAAAATAGTACATTGAAAACTGAGAACTGTAACGAAAAATCTCTCCTGTAAATACTCTGTTACTGCTTTCTCATCTGGCTTTGCATTACAATGCTTTTGTTTCTCTGAGTCCCAGGCATGACTTGCTGCAAAACTGAAAAGAAAATATCTCCTTGCTTCCTTTGAAGTTATTCTTTCATAAATCTTTCACACATTTGTTAAGAAAAGTGACTGACCACCGACACTGTGAGCCTCTTATAGTCGCTTCTCTTTCTAATGATCTCCTTTTTCTTCATTTGCTAACAGCAATTCAAAGAATGCCTAATTTTCCCTCTACTTTACATTGGTCACAAAATCAAGATAAAAACACATTGAAGTTTTTGTTTACCACATTAAAAATGTGGGAAAGTTCAACACATGTGAATACTTTTACAAGACGTTTTGATCTACTGCCTGCAGAAATCTGATTTTGTATTTTGTGTTTTTTTTTTCCTTTCTCTACCAGATGTGTGACCTAACTCATACAACATATGTACAGAGATCGGAACATGCAGTGATCTTTCCCAGGATTCAGAAAGGTCTGGGAAGAACAGTATTGATGAACATGTGTTTAAATATCCGAGTCTCTTGTGCTTGTTTTCCTGTAGGAGTAATGCTGCAGCCCGATGGTTGGGATTTTGTGAAGAGTCGAGCTGCTGTAGTTCAAGTCCAAAGAAAATTCTTCTTCTTTATCATAGAAAATTGTTGCTGCTTTTATCCACACTAATAAAAAAATTAAATAATGCCTTTTTTTATTTCATATATTTGTAGCTTAACCTCCATTAACATCCGTCTTAATTCTCTGAAACAGACAAAAACGGATCAAAAGCAACAAACATCATGTGTGTAGTAACAGTCATTTCCGTCTTTGCTCTATTTGTACATAGAGGGAAGACGACAAATCAACATAGATGTACAGAGCTTTAGGAATAAATATTTATTTTCCAAATATTACAGTAACAAAGTATGAAGTGCCTGAAGCTTGAGAAACTCTTTGGCAATGAACGTCTGCAGAACTTCCTGCAGTGTTATCAATTCTAAAAAAAACTTTAAACAAACTGTTTTTAATCGCTTATCAGATTTCATCTTGGTGGTATGCATGTTCTGTTGCACTCGTCCCTCCCCTCGGCGCAGTCTTTTGAGAAAGTCCCGTCCTCGATGCCCCTGGCGTACAGACGCACCAACTGGCCATGAATCCTGAGAGCGGCAGCAAAACAAAAGGCAAAGTTAGTTACTTGTAACAAGAAACAGCTTCACAGGCCTTTTCTTTCTGATGTGTGTTGGAGAGAGCAAATCATAAACCTGACAGGCGGGACAAAAACACACCACGATGACTTACTTACCTGCAGCAGATCTCAGGGAAAGGCAGAATTTCTCCATCGCAGTTCCAGACTGACACAGCAGGAGCTTTACTGCAGCAAAGGCCGCACGTGAAGGGGCTCGTAGTTTTCTCCTCACATGTCATCATTTGTCCATTAGCTCCTGCTGCCAGGTGCTGCTGGGATCCAGCTATGCTTCCATTTTCGACATATGCTCCATCTCCTCCATCCATCGCACCATGCAGACCTTCACTGTCCTCGGCTTCCTCGCCTTCTCCTGCCAGAGTGAAGCGCACCGCCTTCACACGATGGACCTCCACAAACGGCAGATCAAACTAGCAGAACAAGTGGAAACAATGGGTTGGGACACTTTTGAAATGTCTGCTGAGATTCATTTCGATATAGGGCAAATGCAATACCTGGTCTTGAGTGTTTGTGTGCCTGTAGAGGTAAGTAAGGAATCCTAAGGGGTTTGTGTCCCACACCAGCATGAGATCTCCTGTCCCATCAGCCAGGTGGGCTGAGGGAGAGAGACCCAGAGGACTTTTGGCACACGAGCTGGACATACATACGAGAGACACAGACTTGAACCTTCCGTCCACACTGACCCACTCATCTACAGAGACAAACAAAAAGACAAGATACTATAGTTTCAAGCAAAATCCTTACATGGTGATCTGTACAGAACACTTTAAAAAGTACCGATGGACTGTTTCAGTCAAAGTGTAAAAACAAAATCACAGCTGGTTCAAGAACTTACAGTGCAGCAAAAAAACAAAACAGAAAAAAACACAACACTTAAGAATAAAATCAAGAAATGTGGGCTTGATGAAAATTCTGAGGTTGTTTTGAAAAATGAGCCTCACTAAAACACATTTTAATTTGTTAAATACTGCCATACTATTAAATATATTTCTACAACAGAGATTACTTAAATAGTGACAGGAGTCAGAAAGTTTTCAGTAAACTTGACTGTCACCACATGGTGTAAAACAATGTTGTTGTCTTTTTTTTTACCTTCCGAGTCATTGCTGAAGGGACCAGAGTTGGAGCTGTACAGGGAGGCGGAATCTGAAGAGTTTGTGCAAAGTCTCTCGGTGCTTTTGGCACAAACACCACACCTAAGAACACATAACCACAGTGAGAGTTTTAAAGAGCTCCTAAAGTCTGTTGCATGCTCATAAAAGCCGTCCTAAAAAATTTGTTGGCAGCCAGAGGCCGCTTGCTCAGACAAAGGTTGAAGTGGATACTCCGAGCCCAACATGTGGCCGAGTCTCACATTTCATCTAGATCAAGTTCCTACTGTCATGGTTCCCGCCCTCCTTAAGATGCACCCAACATCTGAGTCCCAGGTACAGGTGGTAGCAGTTACAATGTCCCAAGCTGAGACTCGGGGCGATTTCTTTTTTTTTTCATCCACAGACCACATGCATGCTTTCTAATCTTCTAATTAAAGTGGTTTAGTGTTACAACAAATCATCACCATCCACATTCTCAGATATCTTAGATAAGGACGCACACATAGGCAGAAGGAAAGGCACAGTGGCGCTCAAAAGTAAATACACCCCAGTTAAAATGCTAGGTTTTTGTAAAGTAAAAAATTAGATCATGATAAATATATTTTCCAAATAGAATGTGGAGTAATTCTGTACCATTACAAACTTGCTAAAAACAAGCAGTTGTTAGAAATAATAAGAAAAAAATCACATTAAAAAAAAGCTGCAATAACTTTTTAAAAAACTTACATTTTTCTTTTATGCCATTATTATTTTTGTTGATTTGTATGCACGCTGCAATACAGTTGAGTAAAATCAAGACTTTATCGTGAGTCTCAAACAGACAACTGAAGCTCTGGGTCAACAGACTGTTACTAATAACCACTCATAACTTCATCCACCTGCACAAGCGCAACCCCACACAATGATGCCACCACCACCGTGTTTCACTTTGGATGGGATTTTTGTTTTGTGATGTGTCATTAATGCTGAGCTTATCATTTGGCTCACATGCCTCAGGTTTCACATTCGCCAATAACATTCAGGAAAAATTTTGTCATAACTGTTTCCTTTGGAAACTCCTCAGACCAAACATATGGAACGTGCAGGAGATTGTTGTCACATTAACAATAAAACCAAAATTTGTTTGAATTTCTTGTAGCTCTTTCAGTGTTGCTTTAGGCCATCCTGGCCAGTTTTAGTCTATTCTTTCCATCAGTTTTGGTGAAATGTTCACTTTTTGTGACTTTTGCCCACATATTGCTTCCCACCTTCATCATGCATTTTGCCTCCTGTCCCCCGAATAATAAATTCGCAGCCTCTTTGCAAACTCTATATTAGGCAAAAGGATGCAAATAACCATTGCGAAAAAAGAAATCCAAACTCAGAATAACTGCAACTTTACTTATAGTTGATCCCACTTTCTACAACAGGTGTTACCTCAAAAAGATCGACTACTGAAAGTAAGTCAAAAGCTTCAGGGTGTATCTATACATATGCAATCAGGTTATTGCATCTTTTCCTTAGATTGCTTCCTCTAATTAACACATTTGTTTTCCACTTGAATTAAACAGGATGGTTGTCACAGAAGTTTTGAAATGATTGAATGAAATTTCAAACATTTCACATCCCACAGCTTGAAATTTGAACAACTTCGTGAATGCATCATGATTTCAACGAGGCATCATTATCCCTGCACTTTCAAATGGCTCCTTTTGGATAATTTTCTAATTTAAAAAAAATAGAAATCATAATGTATTTGTAAGCATTGATTTGCATGTTTTGACGGTGGTTAGTTGAAAACTTATTTCTTTAAACAGTAGAAGAATTAAAGTAACACAACTACTGCCCTGAATTACTTGAATATTTTAAAGTGTTAAGCCACTGTAACTTCCTTTCCTTCCTTCACTACTAAAATGTTGAATGTAATTATTCATATAATTGTCTAACTGAAGTTGGTGTTTTACCCGGTCAAACAGCGAGTCTTATCTCTGGGGCTGGACATCAGTGGGTCAGCTGGCAGATACTGTACTATCCCCCTG